CAAAGACCAAATATCACCGGCTAATTCAAACTAAGAGAGATTATCGAACTCTTTTCTGATCATTTTCATCCATTATAATAATATTTATTTTACAAAAATAATAATTTACTTCTTAACAAGTTATCTGTAAATTTACTTGATAAGCACTGTGACACTATTACAATGTCTTGATGCTATCACATAATTAAACAAGTTATGAATTGACTTCAGTAGCCAGAGTTGGCACATTTGGCTGGAATAACCTGCAAGAAATGCAGCCATCAGTTTGGGAAAAAACTAACTGAATTAGTACCTCCTACGGTCTAAATCTTTGCATCTCGCGTGACTAAGCCGTTATGCGATCGCTTTATGTTAGGTCACGCATTGAAAGCGTGTCACCAGACTTTTAAAGATATAAAGTTGCAGGAATTCTTCGTGTAAATCAAAAGTGTCAGTGAATTTCGGTGATTTAGGAACAAGTTTTAAATCTAAAATGGACGATGGCAAAGATACAACAGGTTTGGTGGCTTTTGGTGTAGAACACAGCGTGGAAACGGATTTCAATTCGGTGCCACTGAAAACAGGTGAAAGGTTAGTGTCTGTGCACTCATCATCATGGCGTTGTTTAGACTGATGTTAAATTCTTTTCTCGAGCTCCTTTGCCTTGTGTCTGGAACGTTGATAAATGTTGCCCTTTCCCATGACAATCATCAATAGTTAATTGAAATGCAACCATGGTAGCAGATCTGCCAATGATTGATGGGACGTGTGACTCAGCGACTGTTACTTTCCGAGTTCGCACTAGGAAATTAAGTGCATGTCAGTCCAACTCAATGAGTTCTTAGTCGACCGTATCAGAAACAAAGACCAGTTTTTCATGAAGTACTAAATTTTGGCTCCTGCAAATTTGGAAAGAACAGATAAAGTGTTTGGCTTCCAAATGGCATATTACCAACCGATTTCCCGTTCATGTCCTCCAAAATAATGTTAGCTATTTAACATCAAATTCACGCATGCACTGGCTTGAATTGAACTAAAAATTCTGTTCAATTTCGAAGTCTTTGCTGAGCCTGCTAATGTGCTTCTGCTGCCTCCAATAGTGACGCTTATGTAAGCCTTAGAACGTAATTATGTGAATAAGCGTCGATGATCTTCGATGTGTTGTTGCGTATAGTTGTATGAATTATCATTAACGAACTTGTTATTGTTGTGCTTTTAGTGTTGACGATATTCAAGTGATTACTGCTGAACCAGTGAGGTATGCAGATTGAATATATTACCAACTACAATTGTACATTGTGTTTGCAATAATTTATAAACAGGTCGAGGAGGGAGGGGTGGGGCGTAAGAAGGTGGCGAGAATTGTGCGTCCCAATTTTTCGATTGGAAAAGGTTTCCTATGGTCACATGATGGGAAGAGAAGGGGAGGGAAAGCGTTACCGTTTTATCTTCATAAACACTCCACACAAGCTACCGCTATGCACTTTCTTCAGCAACAGCATATATTTTTTTGATATTTTCAGCACAACAATCTCTGCATCATCGTACCTTAGCCCTGCTGTTGGAGGTGCTTCCCCGTCCAGTGACTGCAGCTGTGAGATGTGCTGTACTAATTGTATGGAGTGTGTTAAATGCTTTTGGGAAAGCCTATGCTGTTGCTTAGAGAAACCAGAAGAATGTAATGAATGTTTGGAGACATTGCGATGTTGTGTTGATATTTTGTTATGTAATTAATACATGTGAATGAATACTGGAAATATATGAAAATCATATGTGTGCACTGCGGTGAAGAAATGAGATATAAACGATCCTCGAAGCTATGAACACTGCTGAAGTAGTAGTTGAAATGAGACCTGAAAAAAATTCAGGTCCGCACGGGATTTTAACCCATGACCTCTGCGATATCGGTGTTCAAATCCTGTATGGGCCTGAATTTTTTTCAGGTCTTATTTCAACAACAAGTTCAGTAGTGTAGGATCGCTTATATCACTATCTGAAAAGGTAGATGTAAAAGCTTGTTCTTCTCAGAGATTTCTTTTCATGAACCTTTCATCCAAAGTAAGATCGTAAGTAAAGCGTTAACCTTGTTTATATCCGTTAACCTTTGTGATATGCATACTAATTTTGACTCTTAAAAGAGTCAATCTACGCCAAGTCACGCTGATTCACGCTACGTCACGCTAGGTGACACTCAGTCTAACTGTCACACACGTACAAGCTCACGCTCGGTGGTATTCCTCGTCCATGCCCTTGTCTCGCTCTTGATTCATTTAACGATAAAATATAATGCATCATAAATTCAACGCGTAGATTTAAGACCTAACTATTATTATCATCAAAATTGTTATTATTACTTGCTTTATCATGTCCTCAATGGCTTGATTAAACATGTTATTTACTGTATTCCATCTCACTGCTTCAACGACCTGTTGCTCTTATAATGTTCTTGGCAAGTCCAGTTTTTATTTTCCTATGCGAAAGTTTTCCTTGTTACTTAAAACATTTCATATCAGTTTAGTTTCTGTTCCACGAAATGTTTACGGACACATATGATTTAGACAGCGGAAATAACATACCGTTAGATTTTGACCAGGCACTCCTTGAACGAGATAGCCTGGGTAAAGCTTAAGTACACCCTTGCATCGCTGGAAGATCGAAGTGAGCAACACTGAAAGAGAACTGATTTTAAAATGAATAGCAGAGGAGAGGGGATATTAGCCGTTCAAGAAGAACGAGCAAGGATTGGAGGAGTTGAAGTGGCAAGAAAGACGGTGATAGCTGCCACGGATGAAGGGTTAGTGTTAGACATCTGTAGTATGTTTATTCACCACGCTTTGCAGACTTCACGTTCACGATTATAATCAAGCTTCATTTGGATTTAAAAGCTCTTTGTATTCTTCTTTTGTAAACTTTGGGGCCAGATTCTCCAGCTAAGATCCATTTTCTTGTTAATCTCGCCCGAGTCGTAGAAACTAATTTTGAATTGAAAGGAGATCAGCCATGTTTGTGCGGCTGTGTCCAAATTCCCGGAAAAGCGGAAGTACTTCGTCGATTTAGTCTCAGAAATCGTACAGGGTCCCGTAGTCTTTCTTTACGTCAATTTCTCTTGATTAGAAGTTAAATTAACACAATTTGATCACAGCAAAGTCATTCTTTAGGCTTATGATAGTTCAAGAAAATGTGGTAAAATGTGAGACTGAACTTTGGTTTCCCTCAAGTTCCTTAACAAACCACGACGGCGACGGCGACGGCGACGGCAGCGAGGACGTGGCAAAACAAAAGATCTAATGAGCAGGACAATAGCTCAGCACGCGCCTTTTAAACTGAACTGTGTACATTTCTCAGCCGTCCTCCGCAAACTAACAACGCAAAATCATCAAAATTTGCTTTGTCCGAGAAAAGGAACCCCGACAGCAAATTATTAAAGTTTCCATTTGGGAACTCAACGCCGCTCTCATACGTTATGTTGAGGTTAACTTGCGGCGCCGTAAGAGATGGTCATCACATCTAGTAATTCGCGAGATTCCAACTAAAATATATATACATTTTCAAATCAACGTCTTCTTGGCGTTGCCGTCCTAAATGCTAAAGGTCTCCAATGTCTCCAGCGGCGCCTGCTTTCCTCTTAAAGCATAACATGTGAATGCAGCGTGGGGTTCGATCAAAACAATAATGTACAATGATATTTTCACATCTCTAAGGCGAAAAATAGTCTAAAGTCCGACTAAACAGTTCAAGAAATCGTTCAGTCTGGTTTGTTACTTCTTTGCACTGAATTAACCCTCTTCTGCATTGAATTACCTGAAAACTGTATTTATCTTTACCAATCAGAACTGAGTAATTTTTTCATGTATCTTATTAACTCTAACTCTTATTTAAGCCGTAAAATCAGCATGCAAGTTCTCCAAACTGTTCTCCGTACATCTCCTGTGGTACTTAAAGAGAATTTGTCTAAAATGTCCAAAAGAGTTCTTTTTTAGTTGGTGATCAGTTTCTTTATTCTCCTGACTATATGTTGGATTCAGGGGTGACATCGTAAGGAGAAATTAGATGCTAGTCACTCTTAGCGGGTAACCGGAGGACAAAGTAGAAATGAATACTATTGTTGTCAGGATGAATGAATCAGTGAACAAATGATACACGTGTGAAAGTCTCAAACTACTTTCCATTTGCTGTGCGATATGCCAGTATTGCGACAAGAAAATATCTTCCCAACGAAGGCTGAACAATGGTAGCACCAGAAAAAGATCTATATCATCAACAATAGCAGTATGGTATATTTTTTTGTAAGACATTTACTAGTGGTTCGTTTCTTTTGCTTCTTAGAGTTGTGGCTGTTCAAGTGAATACTGTGGAGCAAGTGGGGTATTTACCAAAAACTACTATTTTATAAAGTTTTCTGTTACTTTAAAGATTACAGATTGAGCCCATTTCCGAGGAAATCAACGCAAAATACGGTCGCAGATGCAAGTGGAAATCTGGTCATTTCCATTATGTTACCGATGCCTTAACCTCCTCTTCTTCAGTTTGGTATAAGACTGACCAACCCTGCCCTCCCCACCCCTGACGCGAGTGTAGACAGAAAATTTGAAAAATCGATTGCCAACAATGTGTTGTTTTCATGAACAAAACAACAAGGGCTGCATTGTAGAATGTGGGCGTTTTAGTGCTCACCCAGACTGAGACTCGTAAAACCAAAACCGAAAAAACCACAACATGTACCTCAGCAGAGGAAATATTTTAGTGAGAACGCAACGTAAAAACAATTAAACTGCCTTGAAGCGCAGTAAAACGCGAGGGATCAAAAAGCGGTTGGTTTTAATGTTGCATGTGATTTGTTGAGGGGTGGTGCAACTTTTCTGGACCAATCACATGGCGAAGTAAAGCAAAAAAAAAAGCGAAATCTGAGTCATTTCCGACATTTAATTGAAAATTACCTTAAAGGGACTTCGTAATCGTTGTGCCTCTTGCGAAGTCATTCAGATTCTGTTTTAATCAGTTCTCTATCCAATCCATCCTCGCAACTTTTGGTCCACTTTCCCATTTTGTAGTTTCCTCTCTCACCAAACTGATGTATTGCAGTGCCCTCTTTGCTAAAAGTAACGTAGCCTGTAATGTAGCGATTTTCACTTTTGCGACGTAGCTTCTCTATAACCAATGGACAAAGCTAAGAAAGTATCGAAATGTGATCGAACCTTTCCACTGCTGTATTTACAGCGGCCACCGTCCCGCATTACAAGGTGGGCGCCCTATGCTAGCAGGCGGTCCTCGGTATCCAATCCCAAACCCAGCAGTGAGCTACGAAGAGGAGAGAGGCTGTACAGATTACTGTTGCTTGGCATGTGACAGTGAATATAAATGGTACAATTTGAGAGGAAAAGGTGAAAACGATTTATCATAATAATAAATGACCCTATACTTAAAATGTTAGGACCCTTGTTAAACAACGCTACTTTCTGTTATGCTCCTTGCATCTGCTTTCGCAGTCCTGCGAAAAGAAGCATTTTTTCTCTCTTGTTTTAAAACTTTCAACCTCTAGGGATCCCGAGATATTTTATGAAATGCCTAAATAAGCCTTGCTTTGGGTGTAGTCATTTTTTACCAACTGGGAAGGAAGGGTCAGAGGATTTTGGTGGAGTCATAGTAACATCTACCTGCTTCTCCCATAAGGCTCTGTATGTTCCATATTCTCCTCTTT